AGTTAAGTATGTGTAATTTGCAAAGCATTACATATTTGTAGAAAAGCAAAGGAAAAAAAAAAACGATTTTATGAATTTGAATTTATAATTATACATACCGTATTTTATAAATTATCCCTTGTTGACATAATTTTGCTACGACATATGATCTCAAAGTGAGAGACGATGTAAGTACAGAAATATAGAATAGTATTTAAGTCGTGTTTTTTATTGTTTAAATATTAAGTATTTATGACTAAAGCCGGTGGCACACGCTGCCTGTTTTCCTGTTTGATTGCTAGCTGAATTACAATTTTGTCACTATATTGGCTTCAATATTGGCAATAACTGGCACTAACTGCAAACAGCCAATATGGTAGCAAGATTCTAATCCAGCTTTACAGATAATGATGTTTTTTTTTATTACGTTATATATATGTATTATGTTTCAAAATTATACATATCGGATCCTCGTTCTTTTAATAATGGATTTTTTAACCAACTTGCTCGATTTTTTCTTAATAATAAGGAAAGTCATCATCGTTTAGTTTTTAATTTTTTTAATTACGTATCTTTGCAACTATATCTGTCAAACATATTTAATATTTTCTTAAACTCCGTCTAAAATTAAATGCACAAGATATAGTTTCATTTATTTGATTCGTTAAAGTTAGTTTTAGAAAAACTTTTCTTTTTTAGTCATTTATTAAGAATGATTAATGCCTCAAACTTAAAGAAAACTGGATTAGTCAAACATTTTATCACTAAAGATATTTCCGAGAATTTTGAAACACTGTACGTTTTGCGTTAAAAAGAAAAAAAAATACTAAAGTCACTAATACCAATTACCAAACGTCAATGATGTTGACAACCGCAATGAAATATTGCAGTGATAAAAACATAGAATAACGTGCAATTGTACAAGCAATTTTTATTATACTTTATTATATATTTATTTTCACTTTTTGAATTTGAACAGCAGAAATACACAATGTATGAAAAATGGATGCTTGAAAAGTAAATTCTCAGGTAGGTATTATTGACTTGCGCAATTGTCCTGTGGAAATTTCAGTTTTAAAGTAATTGTACTTGGAGTCGTAACATCGGCAACATTTATTTCAGTACCATCTTTTAAACCTAATTCGATCAAAGTCTTGGACAAATTCTCGCGAGTTTTCTCTTCAATGCTCGCTACCATTTGCATGTACAGAGTTTTATATTTGCCCTCTATTATAGCCGTAATAGCAGGATTTTTCATTTGCAGATCTGGCCGCTCACAAAGAAGATCTATTAAATTCTGTAATTTATATTTTGAATCTTTAATTTCAATCTCTCGTGGTACTTGACTACACGCCAAGCAATTTACTTTTCTCTCTACCTCGAAAGTGTACGTATAAACTCCATCTAGATCGTTAAGCACCTGAAAGTGAAATGTGTGTATTTTGTTTTACCTTGTCGAGATTGCTATTAATATAAATACGGTCCAGTTTTGTGCTTCCGACGAAAAATAGAATGCATGAATATCCTAATTTTATTATCAAATTGAAAAGATCAAGGACTGTGAAGATTAGAATTCAATCAAGACAAAACGATAAGATTAAAGTTATCCAATTGATTAAATTATACACGCGCTTCTATATATATATATATATATATATATATATATATATATAAATTGGAAACTATATGTGTATGCGTGCGCGCGTGTAGAATTTAATCAATTGAATAACTTTAATCTTATTGTTTTGTCTTGATTGAATTCTAATCTTCATAGTCCTATATATATATTCTTTTGCGTACAACAAAGCATTACTATATTGTTGATTTATCATGTGTAATTACCATGTAATTATTTAAGGACGCGCTACAACTAGTTGCAAGTTTAAATGCTTCTGTCGCGCATGCAGCGGCGATAACAGCGTTTGTTGATGCTACTGCTGGTATAATGTTTTTAATGACACCCTGTACAAGTCTGTATGTCAAACCCTGTATACCGAATTGTGCTGCTCTGTCATTTGACTTTTCGTAAATCCAGTTTATATGCTGGGGATCATCCCCATCGATAGCACAGTCAAATGGATTTTCCTTCGGCCATTGAATTACCTTGACATATTCTATACAATGTTCCGGCAAACGTGGAGTATTGGCTATCGTACATAAAGGATACGTGACCTATGTGAGGTACAAACAAGTTTCAAATATATAAAACAGTCTGTTAATGTTAAATATATAAAATAGACTGTCAACTAGACTGTTAATAATATTGAATCTTGAGAAATTAATTGAAGACTGTACTCACTTGCGGTGGGTAAAAATCCAAGGTACACTCAATGCAAGGGCTCATACCGGGTAATATAACTCGAACATTTCCCTTGAAACCCTCGGTTCCACCATCGATCATAGGTATCACGCTGGCCTGATCTAACTCACCATTTTCATAAACAAGCAAAGACATTAACATACCATTGAGCCATCTTCTCGCGACAATTGAATCTAATCCACAGATAACCATGTGGAACTGTTGGAAGAAGGCCTCGCTTTTAGTTTGTATCTCACAATTGTGTGGAATCACATTACATCCGGGAACTCTAGTGTTAATGTACTTTGCAGCTACCTCTGCCTTATAAGATCCAATGTCTTTATGACGAAATAAAAACTGTCTGTAATATTTAAAGCATACAAACAAAATTGTTTGCTTTAAATAAACTTTTAATAAAATATTACAAGTTCTGTCATATTATTTTTGTTACAGGTTCAAGGAAGAGAATCTTGACACGATATCTACTACTAGTCCTTACAAATTAGATTACATAGCATCACAATATATGTGTGTGTGTGTGTGTGTGTGTGTGTGTGTTTTGTTTATATATATATATATGTATACACATGTATAAATCTTTTGTAACCTCACCTACCGATTGAGGTTAGACAACTCGATCGTGTCCATGTCGATTACATGAAGGTGTCTGAATCCCATCAGGGCAAGATTCTTAAGCAACTCACATCCCAGACCGCCGGCACCGACAACAAGTACTTTACAGTGATCCACGAGCATCTGCAGATTTTCAGGAGACGGCTGAAAGTCCGGCCGGCAAAATGGGCCTGATCTCTCCAGCACTTTCCGTAAACTGCTCCATCGCCTTTGCATGTGATCGAAGCTCATTATTGTCGCTCGATTGTACGAGCTTCGGCCTAGAATCGGAAAAAAGCAAGTTTCATTCCAAGTGATCCAACTCGTGGTTCGCTCGATGCTGAAGAATCAAGAAGGATGCTTCGTTAATATATTTTCCTTCTTTTCTTCAATATCTCTTTCTTCCCGCCTCTTATAAAATATATTATTCCTCCGTTTTTCACAAGTAGCAAACAAATTACATATTAAATACTTGCAATTTCTTCGTTGACAGTTTCCCTTTCTCGATGACGGCAGTCATAAGCACCAAAGCACGGTCGATTTATAACCTCTATAATCCTTATATTTATTCGCTATTCGATAGGGAATTGCTGTATTTCTCTAGAAAGTTTTAACCAATGACGCACACATATATCTAGGCACCACTACACGGAAGCTACTAGAAATGGCAGAAACTATGCTGTGTTCAGACTTGAGAGTGTGTTGGAAGTGTTTGAAGGTGCAGGGGAAAAGGGGAAAAGGGGAAAAGAGGAAAAGAAGAGAAGGGAAGGGAATGGCGTCAGATAGGGTGGAAGGGTGGGGGAGAACAGGACGAAGTTACGGGACGGCGGGGCGACCTCTGGGGGGACGGGGACAAGGCGAGGTCCGAAGAGCATCGCACTATGCGTTGCATGCATTGCTTGGGCATTGCTGTCGAATATGGCGTCGAGCTCGGAGCTGCTGGAATATTCGTCCCCGGTGAAGCGTCGTAAGGTCGACGGCGGCAGAGATCACGGGAGCATCAGCGTAGCTTTGGCGGATCCGCAGCGCGGCGAGACTTCACACAACAGCCCACACGACGATCTCGAAGGTATCGAAATACGCTGGAAAGCCGCGCGATCGCCCGCAATACCACGAAATTCGCGGGTGCCTCGCGTCCAAGATGGCGGCGATTCACCGCCTTTTCGCCAACGTCTTCCGCGTCTCTCGTTCGCTACACGGCCATCTACGGCCGCCATGACAGTCTTGAATGATCGCGTCGCAATTCCATGTAATCGCATTTTCTCGTTGCGATCGACCTATCGGCCGAGTATATCCCTTCTGAACTGATCTAGCGCGACTAATATATTTTTATTCTCTATCCTTTTTTCCGCTTTTTAATCTCGACATTTTTCTAGTCTCGATATATTGTGGAATAGTGGGCGTCGATCGATCATATCGGGATATTTCTCAGAATGCTAACTGGTGCTAACGCTCCTCTGCAGCATTCACAGATGGCGTTCGCACGGACTTGCTCCTTTTTAGCCGCGCTTTGTACTACATGCGTATAACAAATACGTGTGTGTGTGTGTGTGTGTGTGCGCGCGCGCGCGCGTGTGTGTACGTGTACATGCCATGTCACACATATACATACATATCCGGCCTTTTCGGCTGCTTTGTCTGTTGGCAGTATTTCGCGAATGTAAATACGAGATGGCTTCTTCGTATCTACTTATATATATATATTTTTTTTTCTGCATTTGAAATGAGATAGATAATTGGATATTGGAACAAATTGGATACACTTGTATCTTTACAGATTTCATATATCGCTCTCGTGCTCCTAGCATTTCCTCGAGAGTCGGAATGTAAACGGGATATTTGTTTGAATATCATTTTGACGCAAAATAATATCTGCATGCAGAAATTGCATTTTTCTAATTACATACTTCAGTAACAACTTTATAATCGTACAATAATATAAAAAACTAATTTATTTATCTTTTACAGTTTTCACATTTATAATTGAATCGGTGAGTTCAGAGAGAGAGAACGAGTCATTTTTTAAAATCTTTTAGTACCAATGAAAAAACTAACAAAACGTAACTACTTTTACACTCTTGTTTCTAATCTTATTATTGTCGAACTACTTTTGAGAATTTAAATATGACATTTTTAATATTTTTGAAATACTTGTCTATTAAATAAAAAACTTAAATATCAAATTTCTCATTTTCTTTCTGCACTCAACGTTGGATACGTATAGCATTTCTTTTATTAAAAAGTATGTATCGCGCGCGCACGCG